ACACCACAGATGGCCTCTTCAAATCTTTTGTCTACACATAGGTACTGATGGAGACAGAAGGAATACGAAAGACATATGGGTAAGTCAGTAAGAAGGGCATTGAGAGGACGTAGCCGCTTCCCCCACCCTAGGTTTTGGCACAACCTTCATCTCCCAATGGCAAACCCAGGTCTGCTCAAGGAGTCGTTTGAATGACCTCTTTAGCCGATCTGCGCCGAAATATGGCGTGCCACCACTTCCTTCAAAAAAAGCCAAAAGTAGTGCAAAGTAAGAAACTACGCGATACCTGCAGGAGCTCTCCTTGTGATTTTGACGAAGAAGCATCATTTTGGTTCAGGCTGTGCCCAATCACATTTTCAGTTAACATAGCGTAGAACTCCTTAAAAAAATTGGCTTTGCCGTAAGAGCAGTGCTGCTAAATTATCAAATTACACAACGTAATTACAGCCAATCACAATATTTGGTGCATTGACCACGTAGGGGAAAGCACAGAACATTAGGCAGGACTTTATCAACATGTAACAATCTCTTTCAACAATAATAACATAATTGCAGTCTGTACATTCTCTGATCCTATGCACATTAATTAACCTATTTCTTCACTTTGGCGATCTTTGCCTTAGTCTTATCTCTTGCAACAGATTTCTTTGCATCATCTTCCGAGAAGACGATAGAAGGCGATGAAAAACTGTAACACAAAATTTTAATTCCTAGAAAACATTCCATTGACTGACCACAACTCACTTGAACATTTTGGGGGATAGTATTTCACGGTGCCGGCAAGATGCAGCCTGCTCTACAGTTTCCTCCTCTTGGGTTTCTAATGAAGGCAACCAAGTCGGAACTGGTCCTGTCTGAAATTTTCGAAAAAATACCAACACTAGTGAAAAGCTGTTGCCGCCTAGGTAGGATTTTTCCAACTGGCTTCCAAAGGCAAAATAATCAGAGTAGAGTCTATAGCAAGATGCTCTCGCAATCACAGCACTAACCTTGAGTTTCTTCTCCGGTTGTAAGCAATCCTTTAGGAGTAACATGCTCTCAATGTCACCGGGAACGCAGCCTTTTATATAAATTACTTGTTTGTCTATATTCATTCGAAGAACCTGCAATGTTTTTACAGTAAATCAATCAAGGGAACGCTTTGATTTGAAAATGGAATCAGACCGACCTCTAATCCACTGGTAGTGACCCATTCGTATCCCATGTGACCAGGCATTCTTTTGCCTGGCCAAACACGAGCATCACCGGTGGATCCAACTGAACCAATACGACGATGTGACTTAGTCGTACTGAACGAATTCGTATTGAAAGATGTCGGATGCTCATGACCAAAGACATGAAAACGTACTTCCGAGCTGGCTGTCCTCTCATACCCCATCTGTGCATCCCACCCTGGAATCCCCAATCAATCGATTTCCCTGTAGCGGTGACGTACTGTCCGACTGCTGAAATGCTCGCCGACATCCAGTTCGTGCCTACAGTAGGCAATGCCTCTTCCGGAGACTTAACGATCACAAATTAATCTAATACTGAACTCTGCCTAAGAATTTGCTAACACGACCTAATTTCATGCAAGAACACTTATTCAACAACCTACTTACTTACATGACGGCCGAGCGACATATGTCACCTCGAACGTGAGCATTTCTTGACGCCTCTTCAGGGTTTCCCCGCCCTCCAACTCAAGAAGGTAACTTTTTCTGTCGTAAGTTCATTTTCCGCACCATTTTTCGCTTTTTGGATGGACAGCATGTTAGTAATACTGAATGGACACGAGAGAACGATTATGAGCTAGAACGTTGCAGGGATATTGGCTTTCTGCATAAAGCTGACGCTGATCAGCCTCGGTGAAGTTCCCGTCCCAAGAGGCTGCCTGTCTCTACTTCGGAGTCCGCTATGTTTTTATTTTTCGCTTCTTCTATCCTGGCGGGAATGTTCAAGCGCCTGGCGAAATTGTAATTGACGAAAGTGCGATACAAACTAAAGGCTGATGGAAGACTCTGAATGGGAAAGGACCCCTACCACTTGCTCGAGTGCGGGGACTGTCTTTAAATTACAATGTGATGTCAATCATAGAAACCGCGCGATGACAATTCGCTTTGACCGGCCCGTTGTAAAACCCTTTCAACAAAATATATTGAGATTAAAATGAGATAGTCCATTCTCCAAGGCCAGAGCTCTGAAAGTCTCTCAAAAAAATCAAACGCAGAAATAACGTAAGTTACCGCGAATGCAGCCAAGATATTTTTTGAACTGGACACCAGCCCCGACACGAAATGGTTTCTGTAAGCATTTGAAGAAATCGCGGTCCACATTGTACGTCCACTCCCAAATGTACCTGCAAAACGATGAAGTTTTCTCAGTGCAAATAGAAACCCACCTTCCACATGGGTCCCTCTCTGTTGAATGCTTTCCGTTTTCCAATAAGACTTCTACGATACCATTCCTCAGGAGAAATCACACTGACGACGTGGTTCTGAAAGAGAAGTTTCGGTAGGGAATGTGGTAATTCTTAAAAGCACAACATTACTGCCAACGGTCATCCAAAACTCATATTTTCTAAAAAGACAACCAAAAGCGCTATATCTTTTCATACGATCTTGCCATTAATACGATACACTTTTACCTCACAAATCTCAAGAAGTGTACATAATATTCGATCTCCAGTAACTGTCCATTGAGGCGCCATTCCTATCTTCCGAGCAAGCAGACCTTCAAATAATCTTCTTTCACATTTCATATACCAATCTCTTCGAAATCCGGACTTACCGACTCTTCTTGTGGGCAATTCTATATCTGCGATCTTTGCTTCGCTTTCTTGGGTACGCATCATTGCTGAATTCTCAGCGCAAATCTTCTCAGCAGATATCACCTCCTGCAGTAACGCCCTCAAATGAGATCAACATGTAGCTATACCACGAGTATTTTTATATGTATAATGCCACAACCAACCGGTTAGAATCGTCCAAGTAGTCGGCGTGGGTTCGTTCATAAACAGGAGGCAACTAAAATGTCATTAAAATAGAATCGAAAGGATCTGACAGATTTAAGGACAAGGAAACTGGGATTGGACTGAAATATCAGAGCAGTTGTTACAGCGAGTCGTGCAACAAACGCAGGTTCAAGATAGAAACGTCTTACCCACGGAGCAGGCGTTAAAGTACGACGTCTTCCTCGAGATTGCACGGTGACCGCTGAAGGAATGCTAGTGATGAGCAGACGCGAAGTCTCCACTGCAGGAGAAAGCAGCGGTGACAATGCCACCCGCAGCATCTGGCAAAAAAGGATTTAGATCTTGTGTTTACACGGAAACGTTAAATAACAGTGAAGCGGTCATCACAAACAGATTATGTAAACTCGAGTGGTACGCAACCACTGGCTAGCGTTGACAACCAAACAAGAACGGAATAGCCCCAAAGGGTTCAGTAAATTTTAACGGAATATGGATTGATTCCATCCTACTTCCTCACATCACGTTTGAGGCTCTTGCATTGATTTCAATGCACGTTGGCTGTTTCTAAGGACAATCACGCATGTAGACGTCTGCGTTTGAATCGATTAATGCTCTAAGTTGAGTAGCATTAACACTTTCCGCGTGGCCGGATCAAATCCAACAGAGCAGGCGCGCTGCGGATGCTTTTTCAAGCAACATGCACTTATAACCGCTCTATCAGCTTGCAACAACGATTCCGTTACAAGGGAGGTCGTTCAGGCCGTGGTGAGCTTTTTCAAAACGATTTGTGTCATGTTGTAGGGGTCCATACAAGGACCACACAGATGGGTTTCATTTTTGCTAAACGCTATTGGGAATGTCAAAAAAGGAATAAAAACAAATCGCTTAAAATACGCAAGTTTTATCATCTCATTCGCATCTGTTTCAGCTGTAAAGCAGAATACATAGAGTTTATAAAGTGTTTCTCAACTAGACATGAAAAAGAACATTGAATAAGGTCGAAATTGAAGTGCTTCACTTTGCATACAGTGCGGTACACTGCAGTTTCTTCAGGGGTTTATGCAGCATCCCTTCGCGCTCGCAGTGGCCATTTAGCGCCACGCTGGCCCCAGATCACGTCGGCGCCATAAATAATTGTCAGAATCGTGATCAGGGCCATTGATTACCCCTATTTAAGAGGTTTCAGCGAAAAAATTTTTTCGAGTTTTTTTGGTGGTCATGGACTTGACCATTTGGATGGCAGTGACAGGCAAACCCTCCATTGAGTATCCTCTCTGGCAGACGAACCGCCAGAAATTTTTCATTTTTTGCCCCTCAACTTCAGTAGGTCTTCATAGAACATCTTGCTAGCTTCGGAGCCACTAAACGAGCATCCTGGATCTTTCTTCACTTTTACCGTCTATGCTTTCGACAAAGAACTCGTTACCACTTGCCTGGAGAAAGGTTTTTGTTTCTCATATCAAAGGTATGAGAGGAGTGCAGTGTATGTGCGTCATTTTTTGTGTAGTTTTTAATTCGCGTCTGCATACTAGCAAATGAAAAGCTTCCCCTTAACGATGTTGGATAACGACTCCTTGGGGGGGGGGGGGGGCTGATAGCCACTAGCTGGAGACGGAGACATGACCGGCTATAACACAACACAAAGCTCGGAAAATTTTTCTCGGCGTAACTCTATACGTAGGCGTAATTGATGGTCCTGATCACGGTTCAGATACTTATTTTTGCTGCGGAGGCCATCTAGCGCCATACTGGCCAGGACCCGCCGCGCATGCGCAGACTGCCAATGATGGTAGTAGAGAAAGCTTTGCCCACCAAATTAGCGGACCAATTTTGCCATTGTTCCTTCAAAAAGAGGTGTCGTGTTATGAACAAGAGCACCGGATACGCGTTAAGCAAGTTTCATGAAGAGTTTTTCTGATAGTATTTCGCGAGCGCAATAATTGAGTGAGGCCTATTTGTGAACCGTTCCCGCATGGAATGTGCCTTCAAATGGCGTATATCCGGGTTCATACACATTATGGGGCATACAGGAATACAAGAGGCAAAAGATGTGAAAAATGCAAAAACTGTGTCGGCAAGGGGATCCGATCCATAAACCCTCCGAACGAGAGCCCGTCGCACTATCCACCACACCATCTGCCACCTCGACCAAGCTTATGCAGGAATCCTATGAGAGAGATAAGCGGCAGATGACACCGGAAAAACTATAATGCACTCCGACATGCCAGGCTAGTTCATTGGAATTTGACTTATTATTTGCGCTGTTTGTTTTCATGCCTTCTCAAAGGATCCTACAACTTACCCTGTGCTACAGCTAGAACAGAGGCGAATAAGGTGGTTTAAAAGCCCATTCTTTCCGAATTGTTTTCGACCTTTTTTTGACATTCCCAGAATCGTTTAGCAAAAATGAACCCTATCGCTATGGTCCTCGCATGGACCCCTAAAAAATGCAAACAAACCGTTTTGAAAAAGCTCACCACGGCCTGAACGACCTCCCTTGTTAGAGCGCGTTTCAGACTTCGCGATCGCGCCACTGTGGGTGGAATTACACCAGGAGGGGGTCATGTTCGTTCATGTTCACCTCAACTCAACAAACAACAACAACAACAAACTTCTGGAAGGAGCTGTACTAATATCACATTTCTTACATCACGATGTGCTATCCTGCCTCCTAATAAGGCACGGTACAAAAGATATAAAAGTAAGTTCGACCTTTTTTGATGTCTTTTATTCCGTGTTCATATTCGCAATACTGACGTTTGCAGAAACCGTCGAAAGGAAAGGTTGTGTATAGACCTGGAGGATGGCAGAACAAACAAAGCAAACACATGACAAAAAGTAAAGTGAATATCTGGAGGACTGGCAAAATCGGGGAAGGGAGAGAAACAACATCACCCGCTGTTGAAAGTTCTGCGTGTCTTACTTTTGGAACAAGATGTTCAATACTCCGCTTGAACGTACTCAGATGCAAAATTCAGTATAATAATTGTATTGATTTAGTACTATTTTTACATAGGAAATAATAAATAACTCAAGATATTTCGAAACGTTCCTTAAAATTAGGAGGGCGTTATGTACACAAAGGAAGAAAGAAGGAAAAGGAAAAAAAGAACAGGAACAATAAACATGAACGAACATGACCCCCTCCCGGTGTAATTTCACCCACAGTAGCGCGATCGCGCGATCCAGATCGCGCGATCAGGGATCGCGAAGTCTGAACGCGCTCTTTGATGCAATGTATTTACAAATCACACCTGTCTTTGCGGCCGCGTCCGCTGAGCCGCAGATTGATCGTGTAGTGGCTCTTTTTCTACGTACCCTTAACTACTGCAACACTGTTTTTTCTTGCCTGTGGATGAAAGCATCTTACCAAAAAGCATTCGGTAGTATTGAGGTAAATGTCTAAGTGATTTCCTAGAGAATCTTGGGTACTAAGGAAACCTAATGTGAAAACATTTGCAACAACGAAGGGTTTCTATGCTGTCTGACACAGCTGCTTTATGGCTCAAAAACCGCAACCCTTAAACTCTATAATTTACTCTATAGTACGGCCTATATGTGAAGTCTTTTGCCGATCTTAACTAGTTTTAGGACTTCCCTGACTGGGCACTCGAACTTTGGACTGCTCGCAGCACCTACTGAACCCAATGCTCGACAACTTGACTATACGAGCTCCTAATTACCCACTCATCATTGCTTCCACAATGCTTCAGCCGACTCTTTCTCTAGTGTATTTGTCATCAGCACCATGAAACAAAAGGAAACAGCATCAGCTTCAAACATGTAAAAACAACGCACAAGTACAGTCGCCATTCATGTTGAAAAGCACTACTCGAACCGGACAAAAAAGCACTACCGGAACGGAAAAAATGGAACAATTTTATAACCTTCAACCGTTTTTATGGAATGAACTTAGTGGTTTTCTTGCTGCTGTTCTCTCTTGGGGGAGCCTAACAAGGAGTGTTCAGCACTCAGTTGCGCGAAGCCTCCCCATACACCCACTCTCCCGAAGACTCACCTCGCACCACTCCCCAAGGGGAACTAGGTATGAGGTGAGTCTGCCTATTGGCCTAGCTAAATGTACACACCCAACTTATAGGTGAAAAGAAAACGGCGCTAACGTAGTTGGGAGGGGCCACGCGGCTCGCGGCGAGCGATGACTCATCTGCTCTTCTGCTTCCTGCGCGACCGTGCCGCACAGACGGGTTGTGATTTGTAAATAACATCACCTGATGCTCGTCTTGCTTCATTCGCGAAATACAATATGAAACCAAGGGATTGATATGAAGCGGACGCGGTGCTGCATGGATGGGTGAGTACATAGGTGCAGCCGTACCTACCGTATTAGCAAGATGTCGGAACTCTTTCGAGATTGCTTTTTGAGTCATAACAAACGAAGGCCTCTAGTAGCGCCCTGCTAGCACTTTCGGCCGAGTACCAAGTTATCGTGCCATATGCCGTCAAGCCTTGCAACGGTGAAAAGTAAGGGAATGCGGGGAGGCGATCGTTTAGGCGCGATAGTATTGCCGTTTAGGTGTTCGATCACGTGCCTACCGAGCTCGCTCACAAGGGTTCCTTCCTTGATACATAAACTCGTGAGTGCGTTTCGGTGCTCATTTTCCAAGCAGGCCACTATGGTCTCATAAGGAAATGCACTAGTCAGAATTTTTAGACGAGTTGCTCCTATGTGGAACATATGCATCCGGGAAAGTATACGTATCGATGTGGAGAAGCTCATAGCACACGAAAAACACTGGATATGCATGGTTCCGCCGCAGTGGAGAGTTGGTGAATCAATGAACTTGAGAACTGGTGATTCGGAGACCAGTCGATACGTAACAATTCTGCGCCTCTCCGAATCGCCGATTTTTCAGAATAACGCTTATATTTACCTTTTCACAGATTGTTCGACTCTCTACTGTCGCATAAAAATGGTAACTACTAGAAAAATACAAAGTCAGAAAATTAAAAAAACTAATTGAATACGTGGAGGATATAAGCTGATTTCGCCTTTTTAGACAGCTCATGCTTCGGGATAGAACTACCCAAAAGATTTGCCTACATATCCAGTAAGGCATTGTTCACAGTCACCATGCCTTACTGCCATGAGTGACAACTAACTCAGTTTGAGGGCTTGGAACATTAACATTCCGGAACTTTCAACATTTACAGGTTTTTTCCGCACTATCTTTCAAAGCCGCTCCTTAGAAAAAAAAGCCTTAGGTTTTTTCAATACCAATTGGTAACTGCGACACTTCGAACTATGCAGAAGTTATGAAAACACGGAAATCAACCAACCACACTACCAGGAATAGCTAGT